GACAAGAGCCGAACAGGTGATAAGAGAGGAGAGGGCAAAAGTGCCTCTGAACTATGATGCCAGACTTGTAGCAGGATGGAGAAGATGGGTTCCTTCAAGGTCATAGTCTGTGACCTCGAGAGTGTGAGTAGGGAAACGGAAAGAAAGCAAAGAGACGTGTTTCTTAGTCTCATAGCTCGCTGGGTAGAGATGCGTGTAACAAAGCGTGAAAAGCAGGAGGAAGCAGAACATTCGGGGAGGAAGATGTTTTAATTGTGGAGCTGTAGATCTAGTAGTTGAAGACGCGCTGGTGTGCTCAACTTACTTAGGAAGCATATGGTTAGAAAGATTGGAAATGACTGGGGAACTAGGTGATGAAATACAACAAGAAAAGACACATTGAGAAGATTAAGATGTGACTAGAGAGACTGAGGGGGTGGGGAAGGTTGCGTGGGTTCATTGGTGACTTAGCAGAATGTCCTCCAATTTGAGGAATCATTGGTAGGGCAATCCAACACACTTATAGTTGGATTTTGTAGGTAGAAAAGAATCTTGGGAGGTTTGTATAGCTGGTAGGGGTGGGTAGAAAGGTCACCTGCTTCTCTGTAGCAGTAAATCTACTGAGAGTGGAGAAAGATTTAGGTAAATCTTTGGAGAGCAAAGATGGCTCCAGTATCAGAGCAGGGCCTTGGTTTAAAGGCCACTTCCTTCCTATTCTTATCCCAAAGAGACCCTGGGATGCACTAAGGAACCACACAGACAGAAATTTGAAGATTATTTTCCATGTTATTCTGAATTGTATTACCCAAACCTGCCCTTAGTATCATGTTTTATCAAATGAGAAGGGTTTTCTTAAGTCAACACCTTTGTCTAGTTGGGAACATTGGAGGGAATGGTTTGGTTATGTGTAAGACTAATTCTGGTTTTCATTAATTCCCCTCTGTGGTGATATGGAAATCTTAACACATCAACTCTAGGAGAAGTAATTCATACTCTGGTGGTACCAGGTCCCTTTTTTTTTTTTTTTTTTTTTTTGTCTTCAGACAGTTAGAGTCCCCTGCTGGCTCATTAGCCTGGCAGTGAACAGGGAAATCATACTTTCAGTGGATACTTCTTTTCAAATTGTAGCCAGCCCAAGGGAAATTGTTTTTAGATCAAATGCTGAATTGCTGATTAATAACTATTATTTTCTCTTTTCTGGCATGGACAACTGAAACTACTTGAATTCATTTCTTAGTCATCAAAAATCGAGGTTTCCTTTGATAATTTATATTTTTGTTCCATCTAGTTCAGAAAGATAATTCCCTAATTATCTTCTGTAGCTAAGATCCTTTGTTTAATACTCATTTGACTGAAATTTTACATAGAAAGTTGAAAATTAGAGATCCTGACTGAAATCATTGTTGAATAGTTCATGTTTGATTACAATTGTAGCTATGTTTATATGGAAGAAGTCTTGAAAATAATCCAGTAGAACACACTACTTCAAGGTTGCATTAAACCTGTGCCCCAAAGAATTCCACAAGGAAGAGGTGACACAACTGGGAGCCTGGGACATACAATCCTCTTCCTCCAGCCACCATTGCACACTCTAATATAGATCTATATGTTTTGGGAAGGATGCTGTGTATATAAGATTGTCATGTGTAAGAAGGACTCTTGAACTCTGAAAAACTTGAAAGTCAATGTCAGAGAGAGAAGTATTCCATTCAATGCCATGTGTGAGATCACTCGGATACTGACAGAGATTCACCTGTAATTGTCCACGTGTTGCTCTTTTTTGCCTGTGTGGTGTCCCGAGGATGAACGGGGCAGTCTGCCAGCACGTAGCCATAGCGCAGCCATCTTCCCAGTTAGCAGGTACAGAGAGGTGGATATCTATCTTTTAGTATATTCAGAGATTATCAAGCTCAGAGTAGCCTTTTGGGGAAAGTTCTGATGTTCTGTAATAGTGAAGCTCTTCCCTCTATGCTTGAAGTTCATTCTTCATCTTTTATTTGGAAGGAAAGGAAAGTGCTCAATTGCAGTCTCTCACAGAACATTTTGAAAATGGAGTTCAAGACTATTCATTAAAACACCATCTCATCTTGTATTTTTCAACTTATGAAACCCCAGTTAGTGGTTGGATTATCTAACTCATCATTTGTCTTTCTGTCCTTGTAAAACAATAGATTCTGCGCTTCCATGGGCTTTAAGTCAGGTCATTGTGTGTGGACGTGTGGTAAAGATGACCACTCCCTTCACTGAGTCGCCTCTAATTTAAATGTGAGGTGGTTTTGACTTAAATTACCCAAGGGAAAGTTAGATTTTTGATGACTAAGGGATGAGCTACACAAGTAGTTTCAATTGTCCATGCCAGAAAAGAGAAAATAATAGTTACCCATCAACAATTTGGCATTTAAGCTGAAAGAGTAGAACCAACTAGTAACTATCTCTATTCTCAGTCAGTTTTTATTACCTTTGGGTTGATATTCAGCAGGCTCATTTCGATCCCACATCATGATGACATCTGGATACCTCTATTTGCACTGTCTTTCAAATAGCTTCTCCTTGGAAACTCTGTGTTATTAGCTACACTCTTTCTTGCTTTAGAAGCCCCTCGTGCCCTCCTTGAAAGAGTTACAGTTATCCTAAGAACAAGGGTCAAGTTTCATCCATGCTAATTTTCTAAAGTTCTGAGTAGCATGTCTTACATAGACTCATGTACAGTATGTGTGTGCTGCCCAGTGAATAGCTGAACCACATCATTTTTCCTCTATGTGTTCTGAAAGCTCAACATCTGCTTGTTTCTTTGCCTTCCTTGTAATTCTTACACATGACGGGAATTTTTCTTGAAGCATTGTCCCTGGAATCTTAAACTTACTTTATGGTTTGAAAACACAGGTATCTGTTTGAAAAGCAGAATGGTATTACTTGTCTAGCTGGCCCTCATTTTCAGTTTAATTAGAATTAAATTAGAATGGGCAGCTTGTGACCTGGAGAGTATGGGAGGATTTTTTAAAAAAATAGGTGACTCTTAGTTTTTTATAATTAGAAAGCAAAGAACTAAAAGGCTAGTTTCATAAGCTCATATAATGGTTTGTGTCTGTTGTTTCCCCAAGTAAGGTGGAAGAAAACTTTAAAAGTCAGGCATGTTGGTGCAGTCCTTTGATCTTGGCACTGAAGAGGCAGAGGCAAGTGGACCTGTGTAAGTTCAAGGCCTGTCAGGTCTACAAAGAGAGTTCCAGGACTGCTAGGGCTCTTACACAAAGAAACTCTATCTCAAAAACATCAAAATAAAAAAGGAAAAAAAGAAGCTGTTTAAAATGTTTAATATTCTGTGAGTGAGTGTTTGTGTATGTGTGTGTGTGTGTGAGAGAGAGAGAGAGAGAGAGAGAGAGTGTGTGTGTGTGTGTGTGTGTGTGAGAGAGAGAGAGAGAGAGAGAGAGAGAGAGAGAGAGAGAGAGAGAGGGAGAGAGAGAGCGAGCTTGCATATAGAGGTCAGAGGACAATTTGTAGAAGTTGATTCTCTCCTACTTTGTGAGAGGCCTGGTGATTGAGCTCAGGTTGTTAGGTTTAGTGGTAAGTACTTTTACTTGGTGAGCCATCTTCTGGTCAATAAAAGATGATCTGACAATGGTAGCTTACTATGAAACTGAAATTTGGCTCAAAAACTTATTTAGGAAAACTCTACAAGCTTAGGAAAATGGCACAGCGGTTAAGAGTACTGGCTGCTCTTCCAGAGAACCCAGGTTCACTTCTTAGAATACATTCCAGAGGATCCAGTACCCTCTTTGGCCTCTATGGGCACCTCACACATGGATTACACATATTTATATGAAGACAACACACACACACACACACACACACACACACACACACACACACACACATTTTTTTCAAGGCGGGGTCTCTCTGTGTGACGGTACCTCTGGCTACCCTGGAATACAATTTGTAGACCATTTTGGCCTTGAACTCACAGAGATCCACCTGTTTCTTCTTCCTAAATGCTGGGAATAAAGGTGTGTGGCACCACCTACTGGCTTCAAATAGTGTTTGAGAGAGAGACATAGAGACAGAGAGAGAGAGAGAAAGAAAGACAGAGAGAGAGAGAGAGAGAGAGAGACAGACAGACAGAATATCCTTGTAAATATAGGATTTGTTTTCACTTAGTATAGTAAAGAGAGTTGAAGTAGAGTTCTACTTTTTCCCAAGATACTATTGTTCTTGGGCTCTAGGTGATAATGATGATGCTTCAAAGGAGTCATAGTCTGTTACTCTGGATGTATTGTATGCAGTTTCTTCTTGATGAGGAAGCAGAATTCTGCATTTAACGGCATCGGCCTCAGCAAGTCACTTGCCTCTGCATCCTCCTGAGAGAGTTGAGCCAACAAATATGCACAGGGAGACAGGGACTGGTCTATTCCAGATGGATTACTCCTACAGATAACTGATTATACATCTGCGGGCCATTGGCCCAGTTCAGCTACGAATGCTGAGTGTTGGAGGTGGATTACTTTTCAATCTGCTGTCTGTCGTTTAAAACAGATAATTTAAACTACTCTTTTTATTCTTAGGTGATGAATAAGTAAGTGGCTTGTAAATTGGGCTTGTTTGTATGGTGAACAAAAGCCCTAGACCTTATTTATTTTTTAAAAATAGTCTAGACATTTAATTTCTGTTCCACTGCATGTAGCGAGGAAGATTACAGAGAGAAATGAATCGACTATGAGTGTAGGAAAAACAATGACAAAGCCTACACTTTATTCATGACCAACTTGTTTACAGGATTGTATTAAAATAAAAGAAAACATTGTTTGACAATAGATTTGCCCTTACCTTATTTTAAGAGAAAATAGTTCTCTATCTTATACACATAAGCGAAAGTTTTATCAAAATCATGGAAAAAAATGGGAAGTTGCTATTTTGTCTTAAACTCACTCAGGTGTCCCTTGGTGCAGCTTCCCGTCTTTCATGGATAGGTTTTCCTCCATGTGGTTGCCAGGGACATCTGATACCAGCGTTTCACGTTTTACTTGCAGGATCAGTTCAGCGATATGAGAATCAGCATAAACCAGATGCCTGGGAGCCAACCTGACTTCGGGTTTACAATAAAATGGGATTTTTCTGGGATCTTCGTGGCATCCGTTGAAAAAGGTAAATCATATACATTGTGCTCCCTTGTCTCTGGTGTGTGTGGGAAGTAGAAGCCACTTGATTTGGCCTGTGGGGGTGGGGGACATGTGGGAAAGATGCATTTCAGTGGAGGAAAGTTGGCGTAGTCTCCTCTCCAAGACAAGTAGTTGGATTACAAATTACATATTGTTTACTCTCCCTTCCTAATTTGTTTCCATTTTCAAGAGTCTCTATTTTGTGACCTTAGAGATTTTTTTTTTTAAAAAACTTGCTTTCTAGAAATGTTAACAAGTTGTATTTATCTGAAAGCTTAGTGTAAAATTTCCATGGATAATTGTATTTTGTGGCAGACACTTACCGCCCTATAATAGATCAACATGGGGGTTGCTGTCTGTAGTGACTTTAACCCAAGTGCATCATACATGCTGGGTCCTCTGTCCCTGGCCATCTCCAAGAGTGATGTTTTCTAAGTAGTGTTAGTATTTTGTCTGTCATTTATCATATGTTCAAGGGACTTTGGGTCTTCTACTAAATAATTACTCCTTCCACAGCCAGGGTTATGCCGTGGCAAACCCAGCAACTGCTAAATTTGCTCTCAAGGTCGAAAACTACAATGAGATCTATTCTATTTGAGAGGAGGTCCCTGTTTACAGAATTTATCATATAGAATTGTGTGTTGACATTGGCTCTTCCTTTTAAATTTCAAGATTGGTGTAATCACAGTACTTTAAGTGGTAATTTTATGCAGTTTGAAGGGACTCTTCCCTTCTACTTCCCCTAACCCAGAATGCTAACTGATGCTCCATTAAAGTATACTATATTTCACATTTTTAATTTACAAATAATTACATTTTTTCTTTGTCCTCAGGAGAGTTATTGTTGTTGTTATTATTATTATTTTGGCTGAACTTACCATTTCTTTTTTCAATGTAAATGGAGAAATAGACTCTGAAATAAACGACGCCCTTGGTACTTCATGTGGTATCGGGACTCAGCTATTAGATCACTTAAAAATACCAGTGTTGCTTCTCTACTGGAAACTGTAGGAACTAGTCGAGATGAGAAAGTCATTTGCCTTAAAGAAACAACAGGGATCAGCCTGTGTGGGATCCTTAACATCTGATGATGTACTTTACTCTACCTTGTCTAGGTAGCCCAGCAGAATTTTCTCAGCTGCAGGTAGATGATGAAATTCTTGTCATCAATAACACCAAGTTTTCATATAAGGATACAAAAAAGTGGGAGGAAACCATGGCAAGTGCCCAAGAAACTGGAAACTTAGTGATGGATGTCAGGCGCTATGGAAAGGCTGGTGAGTTGGTTTCTCTCTGTGCCTGGCTGAGTGGGGAAACCCGACTTTGGCAGGTGGTTGTAACCATTGGCTTCATTAATCCTCTCCCCTACCCCCACTTTTCTTAACTTTGTGCTTGCAATTGTTTTGTCATTGTGTTGGGACAAATCATGAATGGCCCCTCTGTCTATTCCTTCTGAAAATGCAAATCTACTAGCAAATCTACTGAATCCGACACCTTTTGACTGCTTAGGTAAACGATCTGGCTGAATGCAAAATGCCCATTAAAAGCAAATGTATCTGCACCCGGGCGTCCCAATGCCGAGCATTAAGAATGAGCATTAAGAATGACGTCATGAGGTGGGCAGAGGTGGTGCATACCGTTAATCCTAGCACTTGGGATGCAGAGACAGGCGGATCTCTGTGAGTTCAAGGCCAGCCTGTCTACAGAGTGAGTTCCAGGGGAGCTGGTGCTACACAGAGAAACCCTGTCTCAAAAACTAAAAGAAAAAAAAAAACGGGTGGAAAGAACAACGGCCCTACGATTTAACTTTCTCTATAGTATTTAACTGTACAGCTCTCCCCAAGCTCACAGTAGGGTTCCTGTTTATTCCCATACCATTATAATCTGCTTGTTACGTCATTGTGTTTCTGTGTCATGGGTGATTATTTGCTAGGAAGGGACAGTAAGTCTCTTCAGATCCGCACATTTTTGATGTCGGCACATAACATGAGTGCCAGTTTAGCAAAAGAATCAGCACATTTGCTAGTCGTCTGTTTACTACCACGGGTTTTAACCTTTGCGTTTTGGGAAGGTGATCTGCTGGTAAAAACCCTGAAGTCTCCCCATCGTTGACACTGCCTGATTCATCTGTCCGTCTGTCTGTCTGTCTGTGTACGTTTTATATCTGTGCATTCAGTAACTTTATTCTTTCCACTTCACCATCTATGTGTTTTCATTACTTGATCTTCATGTGCCAATCAGACTGGGGCAGAGACCAACCTCCCCTGCCATCTATACGGCATAAAACCCTCAATCTTACCAGTGTGGCTACCAAAATTATAGGTTCACCCGAAACAAAGTGGACGGACATGACTTCAGGGATTTACTCCACGGACAAGTCCTCAAGTCTGTCGGTAACAATTGATTTCTCTGAAAGCCTTCAGAGTCCTGTAAGTAGAACGAAGTAACAGCAGAAGCTGTGGGGGGGGGGGTTTCAATGCTGCATAAAAGATAAATGGTTAGGTTATACTTGATAAATAAAGTAAAGTGTCGTCTTGAAAATACTGGCTGTTTTCATTAGCCACCTTTTATTATTGAGCTATGGATGGTAACATCGTTCTATAACGTTGCTCTGCAGGTATTTCTCACCAATCTTTCATTATTACAACCGTCTCTCTCGATCACTGTGAATGAGAAATAGCAATTGTGAAAAATTATATGCTACAACTATTTGTGCACTGTCGCCAGCTGGCAAACTATAGTCACTGTATACTATCAAATCTCATGATGCATTTTAATTGGATTGCATATGTGATTAAGATATAATCAGTTTCATGAGTTGATTTAAAAAGTGCAGTGCAGGAAATTTCAAAATTCTGAAGCAATATTTTTTCATACAGTTTTTTTTAAAAACTAGTTTCTATTTCTAATCAGAATTGTTCATTTTAATCGATAATTTAAACTTTGAACTGAGTCAACTTATCTAAAAAGAAATATTATTACATTTTTAAAGGACAGGTTTAAATGTTAAAGAATCATAAATGGTTGTTTTACTACTAAGCCAAATACTCATAAATATAACCCAAATGGATGAATATTTTATCTACCATGCCTCTTAGACTATTAATGACTGATTAAACTTATGGTCATTCTTGCCTATAGCTAGTCATTAATCCTTTCCCAAGTATTGGAGAATAATGAAAAAAATTTAGTACATATAAGAAGCTGTGGGTAATGAGTCAATATCCTGAAAACCTATCTTGTTTAAAGACATTTTCCCCTAATGAGAGATGTATTATTTAAGCCCAAAGTCTAATCAGAGAGAATGTTAATTAGCATTTTTACCCTCTCCAGTATACTGAATCCAAAGAAATCAATGGGATCCATGAGGAAAGCAACACCCTTGATTCAAAAGGTAAAGATCACTCTTAAATTACTTCTGTGTGTCCCACAGGGGAAGTTAGAGCTCTCAAGATCTGTTAGAAAAATTAATATATGTAAGTGAGCGAAAGCTGAATGAAGAGTGAGTTGAAACCAAGGTTAGCATGCGGATCCAGTTGCCGCCAGGTGGGAAGGAGTCTGTTCCAGCCTGGACAGTTCAGGAGCTACAAATACAAATTTGGCAGCGGGCTCTGGAGCTCTCGGTATCCGCGTGCCTAAGCCAAATAAGAAGAACAGGTTTTCCTAGAGCCAGCAGCTTCCGGGCTATGGAGTGTTGGCAGAAGGATCTTCATTAAACACAGAATGAGGTTTCCTTTTCCTCCCGATTGCTCTGAAAGGACAAATGTGCAGGGAGCTGATCCTGGCAGGGAATCGCCAAGGGCAGTCACAGTTGGGAGAGTCACCTTTGTTTGTCTTGAAAAAGAAGGAGACAGAAGTATCCAGGGCATTGTGGGAGTTCCACTCTTTTCTTTGTTTTGACCATTCAGAAATAATTTAGCTACTGCGTGCCGTGTGTTATTCCTTAGACATATCAGCAAGACCTTTTAGGTCCATACAGGCAAGAAAGAGGCCAGAAGAAGATGACGGTCTTACACCACAAGGCCAGGCCTCCTGTAGTGGGGCTGTGTTTGCTTTGGCGACACAGTTGAATAGTTAGTAAATATGTTGAGCAAAACTGATAGAAGTTTATGGATTTGTCTCTTCTCTATGATTATTCTCTTTGTCCTTTTTTTCTAATAATTCCAAACTAGGACTGTTGTTTCCCTTATCAACTGAATTTGAAAATAAACATTGCTTATTTTTCCTGATATTAAAAATCTAAAGACTCCTAGTTGTCTTCTAATGGCCCAGGTAGTAGTATCAATTGATAAGACACCTACGTGGTGACTATGCAACTCTATGCAGGGCTTGCTACTTCAGGACTGCTTAGTAAGTAAGCATCAGCCACTGTCAGGTGATAGTTACGATTTGTACTATTGTTTTGGGACTGATCTGTGGGAGGCGTCAGATTATGATTCCTTTTTCTTTCTGACTAGCCTACATGAAAAATAATAAGATGTAAGCCAGCCTCCACACATTCTTAAATACTGCCACAAAATACTCTGATCAAAGACAAAATCGTTTTAGCGTTTGCTTTCATTTGGTCGTTCGTTAGGTTGTCTTGCTTTTGACGACTTCTCCAGATACTTTTACATTTTCCTTCATCATGTTGTACAAATGCTTTGGGAGAGATAGCTTTAGGTCGATTCATGTAAGCAGGAAGTGTTAGTTTTTATTTCTCGGAGATACCGGCCTCTAAGATGATGATATGGCTGTCCTTGCTGTGAAAAAACAGTGCTATTTACTAAAAATAATTAATAAAAGTGTTTGTTCCTCTTGCTAACTTAAATGTAGTATAGACTACTAAAATACATGTGTCTGCCTTGAAATAATCTCTACCTTCAATGGCTGCCAATTTTGTCTTTAAAAAATAACATTGCTACAGATTGGAAAGGTTTCTCAAGTGTCATTGAATTTACCAGTGGTGAGAAGTTAAAATGAATGACCTGGTATTTATCTTCTTATTTTTCAATTAGAATCAGAATCCATTTCTTTGAGAAATTTAAAAAGGCGATCCCAATTTTTTGAACAAGGTAAATTGTAATGCTCACTCTTCCTGGGCTCCCATGGACTTGCCCCGCTGCTCACTCTCCTTGTGGTCTGTGGCTCTGGACACCAATCTCCTTCCATCTTGCTGCTGTTATGACCAAGCAACGTAACCCATTTCCGTTCTTTCCCCAGGATCACCAGGCTTTTCTTACAGTTCATGGGTCTACCTCTGTGGTAATGGGTCTTTGTGTGTCCTTTGTCTAGCTCTCAAGGTGTTTCTCTCTTTTAACCTTGTGAAAAAACAAAACACCAATCACAGCAGTGAGATGCTATTAAACACACGTGTTTTTCCACTGGGTAACAGTAAGAAATGAGGAGTTTCAGTTTTGCCTTACTGCTTCCTATCATTTGCACAGTGTTAGATTACACCAACATATGTTTTGTTAGCTTACAAAAAAAAAAACCCAACCTGTTTTTGGTCATGAGAAATACCATCAATGAAGCACAGAGTTGCTCGTTGCTATTGGAATGATGGTAGAGGCTTGATAATGCTGACTCTATTGATGTCAAAGGAAACTTAACATAAAGAAAATTTGGTTACACCTGAGCACAGGAGCATTGTAAAGTCATCTATGTTGGTGTAGCTGTGCACGGCTGCCTCTTGAGGAATGACGCATGCGCCTTTTCTTCATCTTCACGTTTGTCTAACGCTCTGTCTCCCGAATGTGGGCTCAACTCTGCTCTGCTCCAAAGAGCTTGAAAGAAATGTTTAACATTTTAGATGCAGCATCACAGAAGATTTACTGTTGCTATCTAAAATGTTCCTCATTCTTTAAGGATTAATGAAACATTTCAAAATTTGCTTTATGATACCTACTGGGTGTGTGTCTGTTGTGTTTACAGCCTAATGTTCTTCCTAAGGTAGATTAAGTTTTCTCTCAGACCAAAGAGTTTATCATTGGTCTTTGGTGTTTTTGATTCATAGTTTTTCACTAAACTCACTATTTTCTGTGACTATTCAACTGAAGTGATAACACACTCCTAATTTGATCTGGCCAAAACAAAATAGTTCTTTGTTTTTGTTTTAGGTTTATCTTACTTTTCTTCAATGAGTTATTTTAGAGACGAACATTTTTCTAAGTTTTAAAACAGTTTTCTTTAAATAGGAACACAAGGGAACAGTTAATGTGACAGCTGGGATTTCAGGAAACTTTCTGAACACTACATAATAGTATATTTTCTGAAAATTCACTTTTTGATAATTATATAATTTAATTATATAATGTGTTGACACATTATAAATTAGCCCAGTGTAGTTATACACAGCTCTAATGTCAAGGTTAGACAGGAAGATTAAAAGTTCAAGACCAGTCTAGAGTAAATAGTGTCTCAAAATAGTAATCAAAGAATTAGCCAGGCATGGTGGTCCACACCTGTAGCCCCAGCACATGGACGATGGAGGCTGGAGGACTAAAAGTTCAGAGTCAATGTTGGCTTGAGGTCAGCCTAGGTGTGATGATGATATAATATTATAGTGCCTGATAGCTGACACATCAAACTTGAACCCCTGTGTTTCAAATAATAGAAAAGAAAGGGGACCTTGACCTTGCTTTTTGACACATATCAATTAGAAAGCAGCTCATTAGCAAGGAGACCTGGGAAATATAGGCTGCTGACATACTTTTGACGAACATTTGCAATAATTGGGCTTGGGAGATGCTGCACTGTCTGTGTTCTTTCTCCCTGTTAAGCCAAACTATGAGACGCTGTTCAGTTTGGTATCAGTGAAGCCTCTTATGAAAGACTCACCAAGTTAGCACTGTGCCCTAGAGTTTGGGGCACCAGCGGTTTCCTCTCTGAACTAAATGTGAGCTTGGAAGATGAGTACAGATGGAACTGAAGGAAAAGGATTCATAGGGGATGGAGTTACTGAGAACACTCATGTCACTCGGCATACTGGCAGAGACAGCTAGTGACCTAACTCGCTGAAAAGAGTTATTTTCTGGAAATGGAGACTCACGTTGAGCTTTTCTTCCTTCCTTGCCCACGTGCTGCATTGCAGGGAGCTCCGATTCTGCTGGTCCTGATGTGAGTATTAGACTTTTGAAGTTGGCAATACATAAGGGAAGCTTGGTGGGACTGGATTTCTACACCGCAATATTTCCTGCATTGTTTTAAGATACGTAAAGGTTGGTGGGGTTATAATATGCTAAGCTAGAGAGGTTGACGTTGAAATGTGAGACCACATCTTCCCTGTGATGGGTTAAGCAAACACGAGATGAATGATTGATGAGCGTCAAAGGGTTTCAGTAGATGACTTAAGGAATGTATGTTGTTCTGTGTTTGCATCTCTTGTGCCGCAAACTGGTTAGGTTCCGGTTCCAACCCTCAATGCCCCAAGTCGCTGGGCATGGGATCAAGAGGAGGAGCGAAAACGACAGGAGAGGTGGCAGAAGGAGCAGGACCGCCTACTCCAGGTAGTACCGCATAGCCTGGGTGAAGAGAGGGCTTAGTTTTTAGTGTTCCCTTCTGGCTAGTGCCAAGCAGTGTTGAGAAGCAAGCTTGAAGCTTGCAAAAACAGCAGACCCAAGCCAGCATCCTTATCACTAGCAAACCCTAAACCCTTTTGCATATTGTATGCATATCTTGCACTTACTTTCCCGTTTTGATGATTGTATAAAGTATCGGGCATTAACCCCTATGAACACTTAGGAGACATGAGAGGCCCAGACTGTGAGGGCTTGAACCTGACAGTGGTAGATGAGGTCTGTTTGGCCATCAGTCTCCCTTACCCTGACTGCAGGCCTTAATGAGTTACATCAACAGTACAGCACGGACATAGGTTTTGTTCTACGTGGCTACAAATTCCTGACATCTAAACATCTGCTTAATTTTAGTTTAATATAGGACCTTTTTTTCCTTCAGACTAAATTCTGGTTGGTCACATGAAAGTTTGATGTGGAAGTTTAGAGCTAGCAAAATTATAGAAAATACTCTGCTTAAATACCCTGCTTCCCATGAGAAGGCAACCTTGACTAATTATTATTCCATATTCCCCCTAGGAAAAATACCAACGTGAGCAAGAAAAGCTGAGGGAAGAGTGGCAGAAGGCGCAACAGGAGGCCGAGAGAGAGAATTCCAAGTACTTGGATGAGGTAGCATGAAGCATGCCTTGTTCCCTTCCTTCTCTGTGCCCATTTTGGAGAACCTAGGCAAGGAACACCACACCCCATTTCCCTAGACACACTCTCACCTCTGTAGCTCTTTGGAAAATACATTGAACTCTCGTGTGTTAGGAATTTACTTTGATATTTTAAATTCTCTCGTAGTTTTTCTAATGTGTCATCAAGTAAATTGCCCTAGAACTTCAGCTTCAAGTAGTCTTTCTGGCCATAGACTTCAGTTACTTATGTGGCCTTTTTTTTTTTTTTAAAGTTGTATCTATCTTCTTGGAATTCTGGGCTGCTTGCCATTATTCTCATCCACAGTTGAATCTGTGTGAAATGATAGAGACACAGATGGTGATGTGCTTATTAACTTATCTATTGTTGCTGGCTGTGTAGGAGCTGATGGTCCTAAGATCCAACAGCATTTCTCTGACTACACGGGAGCCTGTGGCTGTCACTTGGGAATCCACTTGGAGTGAAGGGTCCAAGTCTTTGGACCGGGAAGGAACCCGGGCAGGGGAGGAGGAGAGAGGACATCTGGAAGAGGATGCTGTTCTTGAGGACAAAAGTTGGAAACTGCAGGAGCAGCTCATGGTTGAGCAGGAGAGGAAACGGAAGGAAGAAGCTCAGGAGGAAGAGCTTCGGAAGCAGCGGGAGGCTGAGGCCCAGGCGCAGGCTGAGGCCGAAGCCAAGGCCCGAGCAGAGGCCCAGGCCCAAGCCGAGGCTCAAGCACGAAAGCAAGCTGAAATACAGAAGTACCAGGCAGAGAGGGAGCGAGAAACTTCGGTCAAGATCTACCAATACCGGAGGTCTGTCCCCATAGCTGAAGCGGGCGGGTATCAAGGAGTTTTAATAGCCATGGCTTTGTTTTGTCTACCCTGTATGCATTCCCTCGTCTGCCATCCTTGCTTTGCACAGCTGAGCCAACCAGTTCCAAGGAGCCTTTAAACCGCAAAACATCTGTAAACGGAGACTGCTCTTTTACTCCTGGCTTCCCAGACCCAAATAATCACACAGAAACTCTATCAATTACAACACTGTTTGGTCTATTAGCTCAGGCTTCTTATAAACCAACTCTTTCATCTTAAATGAAACCATTTCTTTTATATTTTACTACAAGGCTCATGGTTTGTTACCTCTTGCTTCTTGGGTGGCTACATGGTGTCTGCCTTCCTCCATCTTCTTTCCTCCTCTTTATCTGCTTGGATTTCCTGACTTTCTATATTCTGCCCTGCCATAGGCCAAAGCATCTTCTTTATTAACTAATGGTAATAAAACATATTCACAGCCTATTTGGAAATTCCACAACAGACAGCATCTGCTACTTTAATGCCCTCAGCTCTTTCAAGGTTTCCTTACATACTACAACACCAATGTTTTCTGTTACCTCTGGAAATAACTGCTACCACACACATGTGGCCCACTCATTTGATTTAAACGTCTACCCTGCCATCACCACCTTAGCCCTTCCTAAATACCCTATTCTGCCTTGCCTTCCATCCTTCCTGTGTATGTCACACTAGTCTGCATTGTTTTCCTCTTGGCCTGCCTACCCCAAGAAGATGTGCTTCAAAGCTACAACTTAAAAAAGTAATTTCTGTAACCCTAGATCATGACCAGAACATGGAGGTTCCCACCTACCACGTGTATACTTATACAGAGAATGGATAACTAGGCATGTGGTCAGCAAATGCAAATAGGTTTGTTCTCAGTAGCAACTGATTGAAATGCTTGTCTGACTCTCAAGCCATAGACAATTTGCATAAAGAGACCAGAATACTATTTTGACATTCCTAAAGTCAGGGAATGTCTTAAATTTTGGTATTTTAATAAAAACATTCCTTACTCTTTAGGCCTATTGATTCCTACGATATAACAAAGAGAGAGGAGGAATCTTCAGGGATGCTTTCTACGGACAGGTGGGTGGACTACTGTGTTTTACTTGGTTGACCCCAGTTGACTTCAGATGATGTTCCTCAGTTCACCTAGGTGATCTGTAGAGCCACTGGAGCCCTTTGTCCCTTTGTCTTGTGGAGCAAAACAAAACAAACAAAACAACTTGAAGACTGTCCTTTGTATCAGTTAGTCTTTGCTGTGTAACCATTACCTGTAAACTTAGCTTATGATTTTTGTTCTTTTAAAAAGAATATGATGATGGGATGCCCCGGGCGGCTTGCGGAGTCCGGCAAGGATGGCCGTGAGTCCCTGCAACGCCATACGGCCAGGGGAGTCAGGCGGGCGGTTACGACGGATAAAAGGCTCACAAGACGTAGTAAATAAACATAAGGGTAAACATTTATTACTTAAAAAGAAGTAGAAAAACAGAGAGACAGAGCTAGACAAATATAAAGACATAAAGACACAGAGACAGAGAGAAACGTGTGCACACGACAGGAGACAACCACACAAGAGAGAGAGAAAGATGGTGAAGGGGGAGGCCAGAAGTGGCTGGGTGGGCGTGGTTAGTTCTTAAAGTGGCAGCAGAAGACTAACAATGATTTTGTAGCTAAGCATTTTGTGCTGAGCTCATGTGGAGATGTTGGTTGTTTGGGCTCAGTCATACATCTGCTGCCAGTAGCTCTGCTTTTGGGACTGGGTGGACATATCCGGGGAAATGAGAGCTAGGGTAAGCCTGTGAGATCTTATATTCCTGGTGGACGGACAGAGAAGAAAGAGAAATAATGAAAGATGGTTCCCAAGACACCGGAGATCTAAGCTGTTGTTCAAACTAACGTCAAAGGCTGCTTCAAGCTAAAGTCATGTGTAGGTGACATATGTTTGTAATCTAAGCCCTCAGGTGGCTGAGATAAAAGGATTGGTATGAGTTCAAGGCTAGCCTAAACAACACAATGAGCTCAAGGCCAGCCTAGGCTACAAAGCTAAACCTTGTCAAAAAAAAAAAAAAACCAGAGAAACGAAAGCTGTATTATTCTTCTGCCTTGTGGTAAGGGTCATTTTAGACGATAAGTAGACAAAAATTGTTCCTTTTTGGTCACTCAGAACAATGTTTAAATTAAATTTTTGAGACATGGTCTCAATAGGTACCACAGGCTTGCCTGGTGCTCACTATATACCTGGCTAGCATTCCTTCCACCTGTTGGTACTACATATGTGTATTGCCTTATCCAGGAGACTATTTGCTTTAAAAAGGCATGAGGAGTGGCTCAGTTACCTAAAAATGATAATGTTTTTAGTGCATCTGATGAGAATTGTGGTCATTCTCTTAGACAGTACAATGGGGACCACCAGCAGGGTTCGAAAAGGAAACAGGTTTTCGACTATCAGAAAAGGTGCAAGGAGCATGCGTTTAAAGTTTCCTCAAGCATCAAGCTTTAATATTTTCAGGTCATTAAACAAAAACACTTTGCTGTTTTAAAATCACTAAGGACTTTTGAACGGTGTGTCTGTAAATATCTAGTCTGTAGGTTCATTAGCTTCTGCTTGCAGAGCTGAGATAATTGCTGTAGGGCACTTGTCTTCTTTATTGGCTCTAAGGAAAGAGGCACATTTACTGGCAACCAGGGTGAGTGAAGGGATTCAGACCGGAAAGGAGGACGAGCAGGACTGACTAGGTAGGAGTGTACCTATATAGCTAGAGAAAACCCCCTGATAAATGACCTGGTGACAGCAAGTCCCCCTGGGAAACTGTAGACCATTAAAATGTCCCCTCACTTGCTCATCATTTTACTCACTTTGTAGACTTCGTTTCTCAGTACAACTCTATGAGAAGATATATTTAGCCCTATTTTCTTTTTGTCTGTGATGAAACTGAAACTTATATAGGTTGACTGTTGGCTAAGAGACCCAAGATGAGACAAGCTAGGAATTACCAATATATCAACTTTCTGACTTTAACCGTCATGCATTGCTCATCTGCCTTGAATGCAGGTAGTAAAAGGCTAACTAAGAAAGAAAACAAAAGGTCAGATTTATGATTCCAGCATTGAGGAGGCAGAGGCCTGGTATCCCTGTAAGTTCAAGGCCAGCTTACTCTGCATCTATTTTTTTTAAATCTATGAGTGGATTTATATAATTGTGGAGTATATGCTATATATTATATATTATACAATGCAATACAATATAGAATACTATAGGTAGTGCTATATATAATATATAAATACTATATATATTATGTAGTATATACTTTATAGGCACTGGGGAGTGCAGCCTAACATCCAGGGGCAAGTGTTTTTTTTTTTTTTTTTAAATACAGGTATGCCCTGACAGATGTAGCTGTCTGCCAGTTATAGCACCTTATCCTGCATTATAGGCTATTACACAGGGTACAGATGTACACTATATATACATATGCACATCTGTATATAGTATTGCTACTATTTCTGAAGTTGAACTAATTAGTAGAATGAGCAGATAATCCTGTGCTCTGTTATAGATATGAAGACAGCATTTTCAGAGGTGCCTGCAGAGTCAGAAGGCCTTACTACCTGTTTGGAATGCTGGGATAGCATTTGGCAAATGGGTGGATGATCTGTGGCCTCCTGGTGCCTTAGATATGGCAAATGGGTGAATGATCTGTGGCCTCCTGGTGCCTTAGATATCCACATCTTGATGCCAGGCAGTGTGGAGGACACAGCACAGACTGACTGAGTGAGCGGGTGGATGGTGCTGGAGTCAGCATGGGCAGAACAGTCTCTATCATCTTAGGAAGGAGAGAGGGTCCCATATTTTGTGTATTTCCAGCATTTATTGTTTTTTGCTAGTTTGCATAAGATGAAATTTTCCTTGGTTCTAAAATAAACCCATCTCCCAAAAGACATAGAAAATAAATTCCTGCTTAAAAACACATTTCTTTGCCAGGTGTAGTGGTGTGTGCCTTTAATCCCAGCACTTGGGAGAGAGAGGCAGGAGGATTTCTGTGTTTGAGGTCAGTCCAGTCTACAGAAAATGTTCCAGGACTACACAGAGAAAACTTGTCTTGAAAAAAACATACAAACAAAGCTGTATTTTCTGGAATAAATTAAAAATGTTAATAACACATATTTAATATATTCTGTTTTAGGAGTAAGTCAAGATCTACTACGGAACTAAATGATGCCCTCAGAGAGAAAAATGGTAAGTGTGATTTTTGCATTCAAACTTTTATTTAAAAGCACAATTACATATTTGAGTGGTCATATACTATGATTAGTTTAAGTGCCAGAAACTTTAGATTCACCAATATTATATGGGTAACATGCTATTTTGCATATCTGTAATAAAAACTACCTTTTATTTATTTGGCTTTCTTTATAATGGAGTGAGTACCATACTGGGGCATTTCAATAACTAAGAAGTATGTGGGAAATTTGCAAAGAAAATGTTGACACACTTTGCATAGTAGATTTTATCTTGCTATTAAAGAGTCTGGCCAGGAAATAATACAGAGGACATAAGAATTATGGATAAATGTGAAGTCATTTATGCAAAGGGAAAAAGATCTGAAAACCCAGTGATAGGGATTTTTTTCCCTTCATGAAAATCATTTGGAACTCAGAACTTGATATAAAACTCGGTTCTGGTTAGCCCCAGATAGCTGAAATTGCATAAGTAAAGAAAAAGCCCTAAGCAATTTCATCATACATACAGGGTTTGAATAAACAAACTATTGGTCAGTTGTGCACACGTAGAAATGTTCAGGTAGGGATCGAGATGCACAGACAAGCTTTGGCTCCATCACTGACCTCCAAGGTAATTCAAATCTCTGATGCCAGCTCTCTCTGTTTTTAATATGAATAAGAAGTAGTTTGTATTTCGTATATTATCATTAAACTACGGAGAAAATAATTTTTAAAAATTTAAAGTTCATTATAAGAAAAGCATTGTCTTTTATGTTAGTCTTGGGTCTGGTAGCAGCTGATATGCATCTCTGGTCAAAGCTCATAGAATTAAGTTTTCATTCGGATAGGTGACAGTATCATTGAGTAAGTAGGATCTTCAGTCATGGCGCTATTTGACTTGCCAGCATTTTGGACCCACCTTTCCCTTCAGGAAACACTGCTCTAAACAATCGTCCTCTCTTTTATGTCTCCACTCAACGGATACTTCTAATGTGGCCTGTCTGCTCTTTGGATTTTTCCTATTTGGGTCTTCCAGCTCTTCTCCCTTGAATTCGACCCCTAGCTATTGTTAAAATCACAGATTAAGTACACTTGTCTTGTGTGACATACCTTTAGTCTGTGGTGTTTGTACTCTGTCCTGAGCGAAACCTGGTTGTTGGTGCACACCTGCGACAGTCTCAGACAGCTGCTCACTCTTCCGTTTGGGTCCCACCTGGATAGCTTTCTTCCCTGTGCAGCCACACCGCCTTGAATTAGCACACGGTTGTTGGTGCACACCTGAGACGGTCTGAAACAGCTACTCACTCTTCTGTTTTGTGTGCCATCTGAATAGCTGGTAGTGTGTGTTTTCTTCCATGTGCCCGCCACATCTCCTTGAATAAGCAGGCACTAAGAAATTATTACATATTTGATGGGATGATTTGGTTATACCATCAACATACTCTTAATATGAAAAAAGTTTTATTTAAAACTAGCACGTTGATATTGTTGTTAATATACCACATATAGGTTTGTACTAAACAGCAATAACAACATACTTCTGTGGCCTGGATCCTTACTTACTTGAAGAGGTACCTAGACAAGCCATATAGTCTGAGAGCGTGGTAATAACCATGAATTCAGAGAAGAAAAAAAATCCTTAGTTAAAATTTTCTAATCTAAACTAGAACAAAGATGATGCCGCTAGATTGTATGTGTTTTCCATAAATAGGAATTAGTCAGCAAACCTTCGGGATGCAAACTGACTTAATTACTTCTAATAAACTTAGTAGTTATATTCCAGTTTATAAATATCTCAGAGCACAAACAGATTTGATAATATTATGAACAATCATTTTTTATTATTCACCAGGGCTATGTCAGTGGCTGAATAATCTTACAGTGTGGTCATGACTTATTCTGCAACTTAGACCATGAGAACAGCCCCTGTCAGTTTAGAGATATCTGCACTTGTGTGGTCTTTTCCTGCCCTGGGGGTGGGACAGAGACTATATGTATGAAAGAAAATTCCCTGTTTCCCTGCAGTCTCTTCATAGCAAGCGTGCAATGAGTGTACTTGATTTAAAGAAGGAGAAATTAGATGAACATTTTGTAATTGAACATGTCTGGGGTCTACAGGGATTTGTGTGTGTGTGTATGTGTGTGTGTGTGTGTGTGTGTGTGTGTATGTATATGTGTGTATGTGCACCTCATGGATGCCTCTGCATGTGGAACTGGAATTTCCAGTAATAGGAGGCAACTGGTAGCTGTCTGTTTTCCACAGATGTCTCCCTGCTAGAGCTGGATGTCAGTCCCCATGCGGAGTGCTGGGTTTGAAGTTGCCCTCTCTTTGGAGGCTGATGCACTGTCATTTCTTGTGTACTTCTATTGAAGGTTTTGGTATGTTTTTCATCTAGGAGGCAGCAAGTATTCTGACCGAATCGGGACTACTAGCTTTTCACAAAGGAGCTCCAGGAAGGATCAGGGTCCTTCAGAAGCAGAATTGGAGAGACAGCAAATCCTGCAGGAAATGAGGAAGAGAACGTCTCTCCATCACGACAACAGCTGGATCCGACAGCGCAGCGCCAGCGTGAACAAAGAGCCCATCTGCCTGCCTGGGCTCATGAGAAGGTATGTGATGTTCGTGATCTTTGCTGGGAAGCAAAGGTCTCCGTTCTAGGCTTTCCCCATTTTTTTGGGCAGTGAACTATCATCAGATACAGTGAGTTCTTGTGTCTGAACCATCTCATTTAAACTGGGGACAATGTTTTGAAGTAGACTCAGTTACTCTGATATATATATACAGAAACTGATTGAGTGAGACAGGGAAGCCAGCAGGACAAGATCACATCATGAATAGCTTCTAAGTCTGGATGTGGAATTTTGAAATGGGATTCAGATAACTAAATATGAACTTGATTCTTTTTTATGTGTTAAGCTTGAAGAGAAGGAAACCTACTTATGTTCATAATCAGATTAACAGCTAGGATGGAATCACGGTAATTAGGTTCGCAAACAGTGTGCAAACCTAATTTTGTAACATTTAAGATGGTAAAAATGCAGATACAAGTTGGAGTGAGTGGGTAGGCATTCTAGGAGACCTATCTTGGCAAATAATACTGCAGCAACTCTGTCAGTGTTCTGTCTGACTGCTGAGCTGGGGAAATTTATTTGCAACATGTTTCAGATAGAGAATTAATTATTTTAATACACAAGTAGATGTTTCAAAATGCAGGTGTGAATCTTAGGAACTGTATCTCTGTGTGTATCTCTGTCTATATCTATATCCAGTAAACTAGACAAGTGGTGTGAGTGGGTAGTTCAGAGGGAACAAACAAAGTCAGTAAATATACACAAATCAATACCACTCCTCAAGTGACAATGATATATCTATCCTTTTGCTTATGAAATTGTCACAGCATTAAGAGATTGATTAAACCCAGTACTGGCAATGCATAAGAAAGTAAGAATTCTTCTTTCCAATGGATTCAATCGTTTTTTTTTCATAAAACACAGGTGTACATTTTCTTACTACGGTTCCATCTTCTAGATATTGCTAAATAAACACAGAAAGATAAAGATAAGGATATACAATATTGGAAATATCGGGAACAAACAAGCCAAACCCCTCCCCACCCTACCCCCACCAAATTTTTTTCCCTTGAGGTTTGTTTGTTTGTTTGTTTATTGAGCCAAGATTTCTCCGTGTAGCTCTGGCTGTCCTGGAACTCAACTTTATAGACAGGGTTGGGCTTGAACTCACAGAAACCTGCCTGCTTCCCAAGCTAGGATTAAAGGCATAGGCCACCACCACCCTGACTCTATGACTCTTAACAGGACACCTAGTTAGCAGAGGCAGATCAGTAAGAGTACTATACAAACATTATAGAGGGCCAGATGCACTGTGAGTGATCAGCACCTCAGAAGTTAGTGGTTAAGGGGTCGGTATTCTTGGGATTCAGGCATGAAGTACATTTTGTGTGCTCTTTTTTATTTTTCCATACTTAATTTAAAACAATTCCTCTTCCAGCTGTGAGGTTTGCCTGATTTGTGTTTTGCCTGTCATTGGCTTTAGCACTTGAGCAGCTATAGATGTGGAGTTGGCAAGGTTTCTTTTTTCAAATAAAGGAGATAATCATAGTGGTTTGATAGCGCCCATAGGTCTCTGCCGTGTGTCCATTGTTTCTTTAATGACCCGGAACATATAAAATGCCCATGAGCTCGCATGTCTTCGCAATGGATTCCATTTGGTCAACCTTCCTGAAGACCCTTCGTGGGGCTCATCCAGATGTCTTGTTTTGTAATCTTCTTATTACAAAACTGTAATAAGTTTTGCTGCTGAAACTGCCTCACATGTAGGACTCTCATTTAAAGGGGCGTCATTCAGTATGACATTTCCTGACATGAAAATGCTGTCACTCTCCATGTATATCATGTTGGCTGATAACCATTCTTCAGTGTAGCCGCATGGGCAAACCTAGAGTCAGTGGATGGTGCTGAACAGGGGAGCAGATACAAAATGGCATGGTTCTGTGAGGACCATTGATGTATATCTAGTCTATCACATGAAGAGACGTTGACATGATTCAAGGTCATACATATTAGGTAGTAAATAAATTATTTTAAACTGTTGTAGAAGAATAAAAACCGTATTGTTTTCATGTGCTCTAGAGTGAGCTCATCTACATAGAAGCATGTATTAACTTACAAATACAAATTTGCATGTATGTGTAAGTATTTCCTTGAATAGCTGAGAAAAATCTCACTACTCAAGGTGGTTACTCGGGGGGGGGGGGTTAGGGAAGGTATAGAAAGTGAGGGAAGGAGTAACCCCTTGCCCAACCTCAGAAGCCCCTTGCTTGCCTCATACTTGGCATAGTGTTATACTGTGATGATATATACATACGATGCTAAGCTAAAAATAATTGTATTGTTTAAGCTTCCAGTAGGGAAAAAGTTTTAAAACCTCTGACAAAATCACCAGTTAGGAAGCCCCTGACAATTCAGAATTAGCTTTTGTAGAAGAGGTAAATCCGGTTTTCAGCGGCGTCTTCAGTCCGAGGAAAGAGGTGATTGGCTGTTGCCAGTCGTGTGAACAGTTTTTGACACATGGGATCTGGGGTGGTGAGAAGGTCTGGGAGGCAGACCTGGGTTGCAGTGGAGTCAGCCAGAGCCTGACCCACACACTCCTAGTTTGAGCAAAGAAACTTCTATGAGATTAAAAACAACCTTCTATAGTCTGTGAAGATTAAATTAAGTACGTCTGTGGACATGTCTAACTTAATACTTATTATGCACCTAAAATTCATTTTGTGATTGAATTTTGAAGGAATGAGGTTTATATGTCTACACTGCTTAAGATTTAAGGAATGGTTGGTTACCTTTCTAGTATTCACTTTTATTTAAATGATAATTTTCTTGCCAGTTTGATACTTGGTCTTTGGTCTAAGCACCATGCCAAAGAAAGTTCTTGAAGAATGAAATGGCACAGTACCTCTGGTGTAGAACAGTTTTATTATTAAAAGTAATCATATATGTAACTGGATTCAGATCACTTACAGTCTAGGAGAGACATAAAATGTGTCTTATATTGGCCCCAATGGTACATTACATCCATTGATGATCTGCAGTTGAGTGGTTCATGTTACCCCTATGACTTCTTCCCATATTTCAGAGGGGAGTCCTTGGACAACCTGGACTCCCAGCGGCCCAGTTCCTGGAGGCAGTCCCCATGGCACAGCCAACCGGCAGGAGTCTATGCCTCCTCCTCCGTTCAAGACTTCAGTCGCCCACCTCCACAGCTGCTGTCCACATCAAACCGTGCCTACATGAGGAACCCATCCTCGGCGGTACCACCTCCAGCTAGCCCTGTGAAGACCATCGTCCCAGGCCCTGCCCCCCCAGGGTCTCCTACCCCACGCAGCTGTTCCCCGGCCATGTCACAGTCGGGCTCTCAGCTCCGCAACAGGTGAGGCCCTTTCTGTCGTCCCCTTGTCTTAATTTCAAGTATGCTTCGTCGTTGAAACGTTCCTCCAAATTATCCAGTGAAGAAGAAAAACTGAGCGCATGAATTTCGTGTTCTTGTATCAAAGCAATTGAGAAGGCTTTCTTCTGCCTCTGTCTGCTGCCTGCCTAGTGTCTACCGATGTCTGGGAAGGGCACTCGAGACTTTCAACATGTCTGCATGTCACCAGGCTCTCTGTTGCCTGTGCTTTTGGTCAGTGTCTCAGCTGGAAGATTTCTCTGAATAGATCACCATGTGACATCAACAAAGGATACAGTGGCTCACGAAGGCTTTCATATTTATGAGTACAATCAGTTCTATGAAGTATCTGACTTTTAATGGCACTCTAATAGAAACTCATTGGAATGGGGTGTAAGAAATAGGCTTCATAGCCTGGGCAGTTTGAATAAGATGGATTAAAAAAAAATCATCCTGTGGGCTTGATCTTGCTTCCAGAATCTTGGGTCGCTTCATCTGTGACCCGATCTACCACCACTTTGCTCAGTCCTCATTACTTGACTTCCGCAGTTCATATGTTCTCGGGGAGGGAGTGAAAGTTAGGGAAAAACTTGAATGGCCCCTTGCCCCGGGCCAGGGAGTGAAGCCCTGATGTCAATGTGGGTTGTGTTTTTAGATCATCACAGCATCCCCATGAGCCAGTCCTTTACTATCATCCCAAGGGAGTTTTCAATTCCATCATAAACATAATGATCAAGGTAGAAATCCATTCATATTTGAATATTTTGAACTGTTAATAGACTTAGATAAGAATAGATATCTCAATTCAAAATAGTGATAATTATCAAGATCTAGAAAATATGTTAGAGAGTTGAATTAAAGGAAAAGGGGCCAGGAGGCATTGTGGTCAGGTTTTTTGGTGATAGATGGGAGTTTTCAGAAGAGAGGACCCACCATTCACTTAATCTCACTCTGTAGCCCCATATGTGAGAATAGGGCAGGGGAGAGCTAGGGACAGGTCGTGGGCTTCTCTGTCCAGGGAGAGTCTTTGACCAGCAGATTGTTCTCACCACACCTGCCTCTCAATAGCCATGAATCTCTGCACTCCCAGTGGCCTCATGGTGTTGTACTCCTTCTGCAGGGATGGGAAAGTAAAGATGAAGGTCCTGTCTCTTTAGCACTAGGGGAGAGCCGTCCTAGGTCTGAAAGTGAAGTGGCAAGGAATCTCCATCCCTGACTCATCGGTGGCTCTTGAGCTATGACGACTTCATTCTCAACAGAAGTGCACTCAAGAAAGTGTTCCTGTTTCTAACCAGAAAATTGAAAACGGAGGGTGAAAAGTAAAGTTGAGGAGGCAAATCACAGAAAACCCGGATGGACCTGAGAGTGCAACGCCTTGAGTGGAATTTCATATATAACGCAACTGAAATAGCAAGAAGATGTAGCAGATCAGAGATAATGATGGATCCATATGTGATCTCAGGGGAGTGGGTACAAAGTCCCAAATGGACCAGTCACATTGAAACTGTTCCTTTAGGTGAACAGGCTTCTCGGTCCCTAGAGCCTTCATGACAGTTGAAGGTATAATGAATACATGCTTTATTTAATTGGCTGCTCAAAGTCTTGCTCCGACAGATATAAAGAGCCTTTCTTCAGCTATTACCATTTCTGCCGATGACAGTGTGACTTTAAATGCCAGCCTTGCCAAGCACAGGTGAAAGTCTCCATTCCATTCTTGTTCCACATCTAGGTCAGTGAGTGGGAAGCGTGAGTGTTCCTACTGTAATAAAATTCTGGGCAAAGGAGCCGCTATGATCATCGAGACCCTGGGTCTTTGTTATCATTTACATTGTTTTAAGGTGAGCGTGGGACGAAGAGCTTGCCGGCCGCAATGCTTTGCTTGGAGAGCGCATGGCTTCTGTGAGCCGCTGGGTTGTGGTTGTGCCACTAATGAGCTTGGCGCTGTTATTTGTCAGTCTGTGCTGCGGCAGGAGTCACAAATTGCTTGCTACTACTTGGTTGTCAAACCTGAATCTTCTTACAAAAGTCAGTCTGCAAGTCCTGTGCTTTTTGTAGCTCTAATCTGCTTAGGATCCTATAAATAAAATTAATGGCATGTAGTGTGTGCTCTAGCGTGCTGCCATGGGTAGACTTAAAATTTAATTTACCAGTGTTATTAGCATAGAGACATGCAGTTATCAGTGTCTCATGGATAGCTTTTACTAGTGTCTGGAAGGAAAACCACTGGTAAATATTTTTACAGTTGCATAGCCTGCATATACTTGATAGTGTTGTTCCTATATACAGGGAAGGGTTCAGGCTGTAACTCTTGGTTTTACAGTATCTGCTGCTGAATGCATCAGGTTAATTCTTGAACTTTCATTGGGGCATAGAAATAGAGAGTCTCCCTAGTTTTGATACTGGAGTTCCAAAGTTAACAGCTTGCTTGAGCATAGGCATATGAATTTGTATATATAAATGCATGTAGAGCAGAATGAGTCAAAATAATGTTTACGCGCATGTGCGCACGCACACACACACACACACAGAGAGAGAGAGAGAGAGAGAGGAGGAAAGAGACAGAGAACACCCTGGCCTTGACACAAGGCACCCCGTGAAGGCTCACTTAGTGCTCCACGGTCACTGGGAGCTGCCCACTCTGGACTAGAATGTCAGAAACCCAAATTCTACTTTTCTCTTCTTACATGGTGGTGAGTTAGCCTTTATTTCTTTGGCGTAATGAAGACTAAATTTCTTTAAGCCAGGCAGCAAATTGTTTCTTTATTTCTCCACTTCCAATATATGGAGAATGATCATCTTGGTTCTTAAATTTTGCTTTATGAATTCTTAGTATCTAATCTGGAAAGCTTAATTCTAACCCACTAATTGTCTTTGGCCTTCCCTACCCTTGCTTTGTTAGATATACCCAGGAGTTTGGGAGCTGTCTTTTATATTCCTCTTGTCACATTTCTGTCTATCTCTTCACCCCATGTATTTCTCGTCTGAGAGTACGCCAGGCTTCCTGGACTTGTCTAATTGTACATTCTGTTTGGTCTGTCAGTGTGTCTCCTGTGAACGTGACCTCGGAGGTTCCTCCTCAGGAGCTGAAGTCAGAATCCGAAACAGCCAACTCTACTGCAATGACTGCTATCTCCGATTCAAATGTAAGAGAGCAAATCAGAGAGAAAATTTCTTGTCTTTTGAGGAGACCACGGGTTCCTATGCCTTTTCCTGAGCCTGCAGCCACCTCTTCCTCAGGTTCACTACCATAGGATCGTGGGTTTCAGGGGTCAGAGTCTGTCCCATTCCAAGAAGGGATGTAGTGAATCCCAGCCACCTAGGAGGAGATTGTGGGTTGAAGCAACTCAAGGGACTTGTACCCAGAAATCAGGACATTGACTCTGGTTTGCAAAGATCCAGAAGAAACTTCTAATGACTCCTGGGCTCAGAACAGGGGTTAAGACAAGTCTGTTTTCTGATTAAGGTCACATCTCTTATCAGCTCATCTCGATTATCTGATAATGAGAGCTTATTACGTGACTTATAATCAACTCTGAAAATGATTGAACCTGAGAGTATCACTTTCTGCTTTATGATAATGCGTAGCCATATATCCATACATATATTTTTTGAAGAAGAGAGCCTTAATTCTGTTTAATATGGAGTTTCAGTATCATTGAATTAAAAACAATTTAAATGCTACTTCCTTCTAAGTATGTGTTTGAGCCTTGTGAAGTCTAGGTAGCATAACTTGGGTATGTATTGTTAGAGCCTCTGCAAGACAACAGTTATTGCTGTATATCATTTTGAACCTTGACGCTGGTAACATGTTTCTTCCTTGTGAAAGGGTATTACAAGTGGTACCTACAAACCTATTGCTTTTGAACTCGGAGGTATTTATATGGCCCCTTATATGAAGCGTGTTTGGAAATGATTTGAACTGATCAACTCTTTTTTATCTGTCAGTGGCTTCTGAGCCTTCTCTGCTGGCTGTCCAGGCCTTTCTTGGATAATGACCCTGAAGTTGGGAGAATATCAAGGCTGGGCATTGGATCTGGGGTGGTGGTGTGTATGTGTGTGCATTTTTCTCTTTTGAATCCAAAGCCAAATATCATTGATTTTTGGAGCTACTGCCCACGCCTTTTCTCCCCTTCAGTACAAATAATAGAGTTGCAGGCCTTTTGTTTTCTGATTCAGCAGCTCATTTTTACTCTGTTTTACACATAAAGAGTTCTAGACCCAAGAGGCTGCATTCTGCCTACCTTCATCCTAAGACTGAGTGACAAGCAACTCTTTCTACCTCACTGGGCCCCTCTGAGTGACGACTGCTATGTGTCCCATGTGCTGATATTCACATGCTTTTGAGTCTGAGCACTTTTCTCTCTTCTCTCCCTGCCTGATTAGCTGGACGGCCAACCGCCATGTGATGTAAGCCTCCATTCGAAAGCACTGTTGCAGATAGAAGAAGAGGCGGTTGCCACTGATGCAGAACTATAAATATGTCTTGTATGCGCCCCCCCCCTTTTTTAAAAGAAGAACCTTTGCCTCATTAGATGACATAGGAACACTGTAGTGTTGGTAGGACTTGTATTTTTACTGTTTATTTATAAGATGGTAATTATGTCTGTGTGGGGGGAAGTGCAGTATTTGCCTTTGAACTCAGTATCCTAAAAGCACAAGTGGAAACAACCCCAAGAACTTAAAAAAATACTTTTGAGGCCGATGATGATCTAGTTTGACCCTTTGGTGGTGTTTTGAAGAGGGCATTTTATTTTATTTTTTTTTAAGTTCTGAAACATTATTTGAAATAGTTAATATAAATATGTAATTGTTTACTGTTTATTGTATTGTATTCTAAGTTAATGTGAAACTATGTGAAAAATTTTCATTTAAATCCACCCATAAATTTGCTTTTTGTGGCTTTCTTTACACAGAAATAATCCAATTGAAAAATAATTTTGTTCATGGGATATTTTATTTGCTTGAAGAGGGCATTCTATTTTCCTTACAAGGACTGTCATGCTGAGCAAATATAGTAGACAGCTGCTTATTTCCAGTAATGAAAAATAACCATGGTTTCCTTCAAGAAACTAGTGAGCTTTTCTGTTCAGTTGCCTTTGTAAATAAAATTGGTGATGCGTTTAAGGAGTGGCTCTTTTTTTTTTTTTAAAAAAATATTGATTGAATTATTTATTTACTTACTTAATGAGTTTGGGTCTCTTTCAGTCCTTTTTTTTAAAAGTAAAAGATATGTTCTCTCTTTCTCTCTGTATGTGTTTATCAGAGGCATGTGGGTGTCTGTGGAGGCCAGAGGAGGGTGTGGGATTCTCTGGACTGGTGGGTGTGAGATATCCAGCATGGGTCTTGGGGGCTGCATTCGGGTTCTAAAAGAGCAACAAGAACTCTCGCCTCCTGTGTGGGTGCTTAGTTCCCCTCTTAGTTCGCCTTTCCAGAGCGTGAACTATAGTTCAATATGTGGACCTTCTTGATATCACATTTTATGTATCTTTACTAAGGTGCAATTGACATATCATAAATTGCATATATATATTTATATCTATATATATTAAGTATGTGTAGCTTAACATATTTTGGTATTTGTATTTCTGTTCAACTATTTCTACAGCCATGATGATTCTGTAGAAAAAGTTTAATTTCAATCATAAATTTTATCTCAGATAATGTTATAAGTTTGAATGCTTTTTTATGGTAATGTAAGTTGTGAACTATTGGATTAGATTTTAAAAAATCTATTATTTTTGTCCTCTAGGGAGTTTGGAAAGTATCTAGAGCAAAACTAGTACTTTTTAATAGAAATATGGATCAAAAATAAGCGATATAAAACTTTAGTGTGATTTGTGTAAAAATATAAGGACCCTTGAACTCTTTGTAAAAATGGAAATAAAATGAGAGGTGGTATATTAGAGAAGGCTTAAAATATGTAGTTAAGTATTAAAATGGGAGAAAATTAAAAATTAGTTCCAGGGTTATTATTTGTTGCTGAGCAATTATTTTTATTTCCAGTTACTAAAGTAATATATACTTATCCAGGAAATTTTTCCAAATGTCCCATAGCATTTAGAATATAGCTTGCAGCCAGCTCCAAACCCAAGTGAAGAACAGCGGCCCTTGAAGTCATTCTCCACACAGATGTTTATCCTGCATCCGTAGCTACCGCTGTGTGCTGCCCATGTTCTTAAGATCATTTCTCCTCTCCCTTTCTTCAGGTATGCTGTTCAAGCCTTCTACTGCTAATGACACCTCCTAGGCCTTTGTTTCTTTTCTTTTTTAGTGGTGTTTATTTATTATGAATAGCCATGGGTTTCATGAAGGTATTTTTATTAGGGTACATCACATACTTTGGTTGTGTTCACTCTCCAGTTTCCCCTCCTTTCCCCAGATGGTAGAACCTCTACTTTCATGTCATCTCTAATGATTTTGTGTGTATATAAAATATAGCACCCACAAATGAGAGAAAACATGTGGCCTTGAGTTATTTTACTTTACTAGGATGGTTTCCATTTATAGCGATCTTCTTTTACATTTAGTGTGTGTGTGTGAGAGAGAGGGAGAGAGAGAGAAAGAGCGGGTGGAGGGAGAGAGAGAGCGCCACAGTGTGTGTGATCAGAGGACAACACGCGGGCAGGAGCTGGTTCTCTCCTTCCACCAGGCAGGCTCCAGGAATCAAACTCAGATTATCAGGTCTGGCAGCCAGCCTGTTTGCTACCTAAGTTTCCAGCCGACCCCTGTGTTCATTATCTTAAGATGATGTGAGTTTATTTTTCTTTATAGTCAAATAAAACTGCATTGTGTATGTATGCCACATTTTCTTTGTGCATTCATTGGTTGGTGGACACCTAGGCTGATTCCATAACATGGCCATTTTGAACACAGTTACAATAAAAATCAATGGTCAAGAATCTTCTTAGAATGTCTTTTGGATATAAACTCAGGAGTGGTCCAGTTGAGTTCCATGGTATAGTTCTATTCTCAGTTTTCTAAGGAACCTCCATACTGATTTCCCTAGTGGCTGACTAATTTGCATCTCAACTGACAGTGCAGAAGATAATAGTTCCCTTTCACCCACATTCTCAACAACACTTGTTTCCTCCCTCCATCTCTCCTTCCCCCATCCCCCTCCCTCCCTGCTTTTTTCTGTGTTCGGACGATTTCTAAGCTACATGACTGGATTATAGAGGTAGAATTTCTTTGTCCTCTGTGTGGGCTGCATGTAGTCTGTGGGCACGTGACTCCAAAAGATAAGGTTGCAGAATCATCACGATTCATGCAGAGCACGCCTGAGTGGCATTCTCTAACATTCAGTCAGTTCTAAAGAAACTAGGGGGTACTGTGCCTTCATTTAAGGGCATAAGTGGGCAAGAAGAGTTGTGTTCTTGTGCCCATATAACTAAGACCTTTCAGAGAAGTTTCTACTCCATATATACATTAAAGCGTGAGCCTTCTTTGGAACTACATGAAGGAAAGCAGCATGGAAACTAATTTTTTTGTTTAAGAATTTAATCTTAGTATTTTTCTTGAAATCACCCTCAATATCAGAATGAAGTCTAGTTCCCCAATGCCAAAGCTGGAATTGGCTGAATTTCCCCGGGTAAAAGCATCATACTCTTGATGGATACAGTCAAGAGGTGTGTCTAATAGTGTGTGTTACTGTTGGGATTTTACTTTATGTTTTTACTAGCTCTTTTACATCCTTCCTTGCAATCTGCAAGAGGGTTTAAAAGGCATGCGCCTACAAGTCCAAGTTCCTGTCACGAGTATAGCCTCAAAAACAAATCTGTGCACAAATACATGTGTAGAGGCAAGAAAGCAAGTTTCAGATTATTTCTTTAAAAAAAAAAACAACCTTGTGAGTTCTGAAGCACATATTCTGCATATCTGCACTCAGTCGGTCCATAAAGGAGACCCAGGTTGTGAGAGCAGCGTGTGAGATGCTGAGAACCGTGGCCACTAAAGGTGTAGAGATGCCTTAGTGGCAGACTTGTTTTCTCTCTTTTGTATCTCCACCCAAAGCTTGCATCCATAGTCTGGTCTGTTCCGCAGAGGAATGGACACATGAGCAGCTCTAAGCCTGTACTGTAATGTATAGGGAAGTGATGGCTATTTGTCCACGGTACCAAAAGAGAGAGAGAAGGAGCGGTTTCCAGTATTCTTCAGAACAGTAGGATACTGTAGTTTAAAACAAATTTAGTGCATACTTAATAGAGAACAAAAAAGAGGAGTTTGAGACATTACAAGAAAGTGACGTTTCAAGAAGGTAAAAATGATTACAGTGCCCGGTTTTTTATATATATATATTCTGAGTATATATATACACACATATACATATACATGTATATATGCATGCATGTGCATATGTGCATATATGTACATGTATGTATTTATATGTAAATACACACATATAAATACACATTTATATATATGTATTTAGTTACACCTGTATCCAGTAAATCTGTATAATTAGCATATGACTGCAAAAATACTTTGAGAAATATTGTCTTATGGTTTTACAAATACCAGATTAAAAATGTCCTAGGACAGCAAGGTTTCCAGAAGCTCTTTCGAGGGAGGAGATCAACTCAACTGGCTTATCCTCACTTCAGGTGTTTTGTCAAATGGCGTCTCAGAGGGGTTTTGGTGACCCGCTGCAGTCATTTTCCGAGGCAGCTTTATGGCTTTAACCTGTGATTACTCTGCATTTTTGTTCTCGTTGGCTAATTCTTTTTGGACCTTAAAGAACACAAGTTATATGGGGGCAGGGGATGCTCTGGCTGTGATTGCATCACCAGTATCTAGAATAACGACACAGCAGAGCAGTGGTGATGTATGCCTTTAATTCCAGCACTCGGGAGACAGACGCAGGCTAGCCTGGTCCACAGAGTGAATTCCAGAACCCTATCTCAAAAAAACAAAACAAAAACCAGAAAGAATGATGCCGTAGTAGGTAGACAGTAAGCAATGAATAAAAGACAAATGTGTCCTCTTCGATAGATGGCGAAGAGGACACAGCCCACCTGGGACCCATAGGCCTAGAAAAAAGGAAATTTAGAGAGCAGTTCTTATTGAGAGAGGAGACAAATTCTGTTGGGGACAGACTGTACTATAGCATAGACATATACATAGCAGTATTTATAGTTAGCTGGAAATAAATGATTGGGCTTAAGCAGCAGGAGGAAGTGATATTCATCATGTGTGTTGTATTTATGTGCTCAAGTCTACGTGAATATAAAGAAATTAATTTCCTGACCCGACAAGTAATCAAGAAGTTTGATTTATCTAGCAGTTCCATACTGGTAGAACTTCTCATTCATTTCCAGCGATTCGACGATCCACCATGTTGGCTGATCCTGATCACTAAATTGATACTATGGAAGCTGACAAGCTTTGAACTTCCTTGCCTATTGAAAAAGAGACCGACTTTTCTAATTTTCCCTGCTGTGTAGGGGGACTTCTCATTACACTTCATCAAAATACCCCAGTTAGATAGAGCCTGAGTCATTTGCTTATTTTCAGCCAAGCGTGATCTTATACTCATGCCCTTGCAGTCTGTTGGGACAGCCTGTCACCATGTTATTAATCCAGGACGTTATGATGGAATGGGTGTTGGGGAGTCAACCATGCAGGCTACTATAGCTGGGATTTATGGATGCTCAGAATACCTTGTGATTTCAGGGGACTTCTTAAGAACCAACGTATAGAGAAAAGGGGACAAGACAAAGATCACATGTGGAGGTGGCATTAGTAAAAAATGATGCGTTTTAGCAATTAGAAAGGTCGACTCGTGATGGCAAGGTGCAAACTAGGGTCCTGAGTACTTTGCAAATACTTGGTCTAAAATGCATGAAAAACCGCTTCATCTTCAGGATTTTTATGTAAACTTCAGGACAGCAAAACATGGTTTGAGAATTCATCTTTTACAATTAAATTCTAAGCTCATAAGGTTTGGTGACCTGGTTAATCTTATTCTGCTCTCCAACTCGATGGAGTTCTGTGATGCTTATGTTTTCAAGATCCTTAAAGTACCTTGCGGATGTTTAAGTTTATTTCTCCCAACTTATTTCTGCAGAGGATTATCCCAACTCCTTTCTACTGAAAGTCGATTAGAATTAGACATAGAATATGCTGAA